CACACACACACACACACACACACACACACACACACACACACACACACCCTTTCCAGTACCAGAAGCTTTAATACATTTTTATCTAGACTAATTCACATGTGTCTAGAACACTGCTTCTCCAAAATAAAGGATTATGTGTGCCACAAAGACTCTGGTGAAAATTCCCCTCACCTGGCAACAGGACTAGTTGCTGAAGGAAACAAAAAAACAGACTTGATAGTGTATGTCTAAGCAAGCTAGGAACAGCTCAAATACGGAGACCAGAGCTGAGGAATAATCTATGAGAATAAATAGTGGTGACATCTCTTCACCCAGTCAACAGATAATGTAATTAAATGATTAAAGGAATAAAATCCATCAGATGTGATGGCACATATCTTTGATCCCACCACCAGAAAACCAGGAAACCAAGCCAGGAAAATCATCATGTCAAAGCAAGACTGGTCTATAGATCGTGACTCAAAGAAAAAAATAATCAACTACCATTATATCTTTCTTATGTAGGGATCCAATGATTTCTATTGGTAATTTTGATTAAATTCTAAAATGGGATATTAGAATGCCTTAAATCTGATAATTTGCATTGTCTGTGAGCTGCAGTTTTAATTAGCATGTAGTATAATTGAATGTGAGATTTGATTATTGTAGCAAATTAGTTGATATACTGAGCTATGTGCATAGTGATAGTTCAGTAGTGTAGTTGAATACAGTGTGTCCATTTAAAACAGAAGGAGGAAAAGGTTGAATTTACAAGGAGCTATTGAGAGCAAACAATACTTTATCATAGCAATACAGTTGATAATTTAAGACTACTTTCAGTAATCTAGAAAAGCATACCCATCCACTCTCTTTTTAATATCATTGTTATATGCACTTTCTTTTAAGCTAACTTTTATGTAGTGGGATGAAAAAGCTGTCAGATGATTAAGGTGTTAAATATGTGACTAGGTGACCTCCAGGAGAACTGATAGCCATCATCAGATAAATCTCTGTTTCTACCTGTGAATCAGGGCAAACATTCCCAGAAGAGAAGCACCTCAGTGAAAACGGGTCTGTGAGGCTGTGTGCTTGTCCTCGCAAGTTTGGATTTGAGACTCACATGCGAAAAGCGTGTGTTGTCTCTGGGGTGGCCATCATCAAGGCCTCTCTGAGCTCCAATCTCAGTTATTCTGGCATGTTCTACCGTCCCGGTCAGGAGGCCTACTAGGGGAATTACACATGTTCTGAAGCCTTTATTTTAGGTCAGACTGCATCAAAATAACACCAGTGCGTTTCAGCAAGATACAATGACAGGTAGTTAGAAATTTGACCTTACCTCTAGAGATCTGAATTTTTATAATCTACTATCTGTTAAAATGATACTACATTTGAGTCACAACTTTACTTATTTGCAATGGTGTTCAGTTCAAAACAACTATGGGAATACCAAACCATTTCCCCTGCCTCCTGTGAGTAACCACCACAAGCTTTCATATTTAAGAATGTATCTGTAGGTGGTAAGGCTAATCTTTGGTGGTTTGTACAAGAAACCCAGTGACTTTTTCGTTTTAGTACATGTATTTGATGCACATATAAGGACTTTTACATTTTTTAAAGTTCTTCTTTATTAGCAAGTTGGCAAGATAATTAGCTTTTATATACTCAGAACAGACCCAGGATGATTTTAGAATAATAAATAGAATAGAATATATAGGAAACAAACGTTGACAAACACTATGATTTGGGATAGAGATTTGTTACTGTTTTATCTAAAATCAACCTTTTTTCCCCCTTAAGTCAAGAAAGAATTTCAACAAGATAGTAATTTTAAACTCTTTACTCTGAGATGGGCTAAGTGGTAGATATTTTACTACAATACAATCCAAAACCTTCTAATACGTATATAATTTTGGCATAGAAGCTCCAAATTAGTCTTGATGGATATTTAAAGAATATTAGTGTATTGTAAGAGGGAGGTTAAAATGGAGCCACCAAATAGTGTGTATATTTTCTTGATGAAAGTCAAACTCTGTGTTTTCATTTCACAGACAATTGTGGCTATTAACAAAGACCCAGAAGCTCCAATTTTCCAAGTGGCAGATTATGGAATAGTTGCAGATTTATTTAAGGTAAGTTGATCTTAAGAGGGATTGCTATTACCAACATTGTCATCCAGTGGGCTTTGTCAAGGATGAATGAGTAGACAAAAATGTGTATTGGGCGTCTGTATACATGCTGTTAATATATTGCATATTTTTGTCCTACTTAAAATGTAGCCTCCCTAACTTAAACTTTGTGATGTTACTATACAACATAGTTTTTTTCTTTCAAAGAAGCCAGATTGTAAAATATCCACAGGGCTCTTTATATATTACATACTAAATCACCATAGTTTCATGTCATACTGTAGGTAGAACCTAGAACCACATTTGGCAATTAAACTAAAGAAATGAACATCAAGCTCCTCATTCAGGGATTGCTGAGGACATGAAGCCTTTTCAGGGGAAGAGTTGGCACTCAAGTCTAGTTTAGCTGGCCCAACAAGAATGTTCTATTTACTGGGTTTGAAAGTTAAGTCTTTCTCATGTGACAGGTTTAAGGAAAATATGGGTTCCCCCCCCCCATTTTAAACACTTCATTTGTGAACGTTCTTACCCTACCACTTCCTGTGTGTTTGCCTTCCTGATGAGAAAGACTGCTTTTGTCATAGAACTTATTTAGCAAATTATTACCTGAAATGTACTTGGCCACACGTATAGGTATATAGCTCATGCTTGGCCTAGCCTCCTCTTGTCGCCCTGGTCTGTCTGTGCAGAATCACACATAGGGAAGTTGACACTCAGCCCTAGGAGAAATGGGTTTCTTAGAATAAGGAATCCACAACATGGAACTACATTGAGGGAGTGTGAGCCACTTAGGAGGGGTTGCAGCCTGAGACTAGAGGCAGGGCAGTTCCCAGCAAGAGGCCTGACTCAGGGCAGTGAGGAATGGATGGAGACCCTTCAACACTGTTAGCTCAGACTGCATGGAAAAACTAGGAGGCTGCTCTCGTTCAGCACAATCCATCCTTCCACTCAGGGGACCCTCTAAAGGGTCTAGGTCTTGTCTTGGGAAGATTATAACCCTACTTCAGTGTTGCTGAGGTTCTATGTCAAGAATTTAGAGTCCATGTAGGTGAGCTGACCTAGGTGTGTAATTGTTAGGGGAGTTTAGTGAATGAGATGGAAGGTGTGCTGGGGTGTGTGTGTGTGTGTGTGTGTGTGTGTGTGTGTGTGTAGCTATAGGTTAAGTCAGGGTCTTAGAAGTGCTAGACAAGTGTTCTACCACTGAGCTACATACCCACCCTCATAAAAGAGAACATTTTTATTTTCTCTAGGCAGCTTCACACTTCAGAAGTTTTGAAATAGAACACAGAATGGAATTACTATGGTTCCAAGAGCTCTAATTCAAATTCTGTTCTGTCTTCATAATAGTTAAATTATCTTGGCCAGATTAGTCTTGCTGGATGTTACCTTCATCATGAGTACTATATATATTACACTGCCTACTTAAAGATGCTAATGAAAATTTCATTACAGTGCATCTACTGCAATTTGTAATAAATTTGTAAATAATACAGCCTACCTTTTTGTATTTTCTCCTGTTCAGATATATAAGTAGGTGTTCAAAGTAATTGGTAAATATTATAAAAGGTATTACAATGACAGGACATTAAATATCACCTGACTTTTTTAACATAATGGTTTTATTGATATGAAATTATCATGCCCTTTAAAAATGTAGCATTCAGGGCTGAAGAGATGGCTCAACACATAGTGCTTCTGGGGAGGCCCTGAGCCTGCTTCCCAACATTCACAGCAGGGAGCTTACAACCCCTCGGAACTCCAGTTCCAAGGGCTCCAGCGCTGTCGTCTGGCCTCTGTGGGCACCTGCATTCACATGCACAGACCCCACACAGATGCACAACTCAAACAGTTCTTAGTATATCTTTAAAATGTACAATTAAGGCCAGCAAGGTGGCTCAACAGGTAAAGGCACTTTAACTGACGCCCAGGTCTCTGGGACTCTGGTGGAATGAGAGAGCACACTCCTGCCCACAAGGTTGTCTCTGATCTCTGCACACGTAATCACGCACAGGCATGCGTCCTCATACTTACAAATAAATGTAGATAAAGTACATAATCCGTTGCTTGTTCGTCTGTCCATGCTGCTGTACAGTGAATCTAATGTCAGTTATAGTTCCATCCCACTGCAGAGAAGCCCTGTGCCCACAATTTCTGTGCTATACAACCCCAGCTCTACTTACAGTCCACAGATGTGCCCATCCTGGCCTCTTTGTATAGCTGGAGTCACTAATATTGTGATCTTTTTGGCTGCTTTCCCTGAGCTTACAGTTCTTGTTTCAGCTGTGCCATAGTGCCATAGCAGATTTCAGGGCTACATTTGTTTGTCCACGCAGTTGTGTCTGCTTTTTTGTTATTGTGAATAATGATGCTATGAGCACCAGTGTGTAAATTTCTGTACAGACAATAATGTTTATTTCTTTGGAGTTCTTTTCTCCGTGTGGAATTGCTGTAGGAGTCTGTGTCAGTCTGCTTTCATCACAGCTGTACAGTTTACATTCCCACTAGAAGGACATGTGGCTCCGAGTCTTCTAGACAACTCACTAGCGCATGTTAACTGTTTGTCTTTCTGGTTAGACAGGTCCTTGTGGATATGAAGTGGCATCTTACAGTTTTGATTTGTGTTTTCCTGACAGCTGATGATGTTGACTGTTGTTTTTGTGTTTATTGGCCATTTACATATTCTCTCTGTAGAAATGACTCTAGTGTTTTAAAATTTTGTTTCCCGTTTGCTCTTGAGTTGTAAGTGTTGTTTGTGCTAGAAGTAAGGTCCTTATCAGGAGAAGTTTCCAGTGTGGTCTCTCATTCTGAGTTGCTTTTTCACTTTCATGAGAGTAGAAACATTTTAAATTTCAGTTAAATCGTCTTGTCTTGTCTGGGTTTTTTTGTGTTTGTTTGTTTATTTGTTTTTTTAATCTTTTGTTACCTATGTAACAAGAAGTGTTACATATACCTAACACATATATCAAGTGTTATTTATACTAAAGAAAACTTTCCTAATACAGTGTAGTAATCATTGGGCTTCAGTATATGTTCAAATCCCTACCTTCATTTTCTTTGCATGGACACAGAACAAAATGGCCTGGTCATACAGTCATTCCATCTTAGCTTTTTTAAGACCTTCTAGACTGCTTTCACAAAGATGACACCATTTCACGTTCCTGCTGGCAGTGTATAAGCTTTTTCCACAGCCTCACCAACACTTGTTATTTTCTGTTCTTTAATTAGTGCCATCCTAGGGATGAAGTGGTACCTCAGTTATAGTTTTAATTTATATTTTACCAGAACTAATGTTGTTGAGGACATTCAAGTACATGATGCTTACTGAACATTTCTACCCAAATCCTTTCTTTCCTTCCTTCCTTCCTTCCTTCCTTCCTTCCTTTCCTCCCTCCCTTCTTCCTTCCTTCCTTCCTTCCTTCCTTCCTTCCTTCCTTCCTTCCTTCCTTCCTTCCTTCTCTCTCTCTTCCCTCTTTCTCTCTCTCTTTTCTTTCATGCTAGAGGTGGCAAGTGCTCTTACTTAGATACTAAGCCACATCCAAAGTCTTTGGTTAGGTTGTTTATCTTTTTGTTGGCTTGTAAGAATTCTTTGTGTGTTCTCAATACAAAGCCCTTATCAAATACATGGTTTCTAAATATTTCTTTCCATTGAGTATAGTTTTATTATTGCTTTGTGTGTTTTTTTGAGACAGGGTCTCACTTTGTAGTTTTGGCTGGTCTGGAACTCACTATGTAGACCAAGCTGGGCTTGAACTCAATAGCTCTGCCCCTGTCTCTGCTCCCAAATGCTGGGATAAAAGGTGCCATCATCATGCCTGACTTTATTTTAACTTTTTTGATACTATCAGATATACAGATACTTTTGCTGAAGTCCAGTCTGCTTGTTGTTTCCTTTCATTGTTTGTGCTTTTATTGCTGTATCTGAGAGTCGATGGGCAACCTCAAGTAATGAAGATTCACTCTTAGGTTTTCTTCTAACAACTTCATGTTTTGGGTACATTTTTTTATATGGTGTACAATAGGGACCCACCTTCATTCTTTTCCTGTGGATATCATTTGCTCCACACTATCTACTGAAGAGACCATAGGTGTTCCCATGGGTTGGATTTGTTATGCCACCTGTCTTCCCACCACAGCCATTATATTGTTACCTCTTGAACCTGTAGTATTTATCTCTGTTGCTCTCTCTCTTCCCCACATTTCTTTTCTCCTCTAGTATGATGTTCTGAATCTTCCTAGGCTACACTGGTCTCTTCTTTCTTAAAGATCCCTGAATCTGGAGCAGACAATGCTGTTTCTTTCATTCTCCCACATTCTGGTATAAGATGACCACATTTAGAATATGTCTCTAGTAACAGAATTGTTCCAACAAACTCAGTGTATAGTTTGTTGACTTTTAGCATGTCCACAGAGCTGCGCAGCCATCACTTAGTCCTGCTGAAGAGAAACCACTTATGCAGACACTTCTCTACTCCCCCAACTCAAACGGGAATGTGCGCATCATATGTTTATAGCAGTAGACAGCCTTCTTTTTAAATTCAATCTTCTCTGATTTATTCTTCCTGTGTAGGGCTGGTTACCTATGCAATATCTAAAGGACAATAAAAATAAGAATCCAGGTCTTTCAGCCTTTATACTTAGTATTTTTTGCTAAAGGATTATATAGAATCCGTGTAAAGTCTGTTGTTGGTTTAATTTTTTTTAAGACTAATAAACAATGGCAAGAGAAAGTCCCCTTGTCTCTGTTGTGGGGAGTGCAATGAGGGGACATTCTATGGGATGCTTGCTTATTTATTTATTTGTTTGTTTGTTTGTTTATTTAATTGTTCAAAATGTTTGACCTTCTGGGGAAAGATGTTGTGCTAAAGCGTATTTTTCGTGCAACACGCTGATCCCACATGAGGTTCTGGGAGCATGTCAACCGTGTGACTGGCATGAGCTCATGGTTCCTCCACTGAGGAAAGCCAGGGGAGGTGGCGCCAGCACCTAGTGCTGCCCGGAGCAAGTGCCTGCTGGCTCCATGGTAAGCACAGGCCTTTTAATAGGTTGGAGACAAAGTGACATTCGGAAGAAACAACATGTCGACAATTTCCTTAATAAATTTTGTAGGAACCCATTATTTCCACCTGGTGGAAATGTAGCTCTCTTAAATAATTGAGAGGTTGCACTCATCAGTGCGACGGTCAACAGAGATCTTTGTGAGCTAGGGCAGCCCACAGCCCTTTGCAAGACAGGGTAATTGATATTTTACACAAGCAGCCCAGCTAGTGTTCAGAGTGTCTGTGTGGCACCCACAGTCCACTCTGCTCTCCTCTGCTGTCCACGCAGTCAGTCACTAACCTCACAGGACTAAGGGTTACAGTTAGTTGTGTTTTAGAATGGGCGTTAGCTCAGTCATTTGCATTTGCTGTGGTTTCTTTTGTCTGCTGGCACAAAATCTTCATATTCATGAAAAGTGATGATACTAAATATTCGGTTCATATGAATATACCATGTGACAGTAACATGGTGAGAAAGCCAACAAAATGTTTGTGAAATGTGTAATGCAAGAATGAAAAAGCAAGTGCTAAAGGAGGTTGGTGGTCCTGAGTAGTCACACTGGTGTGGGGCTTGAAGGAAAGTGAGGTGCACTGTAGAGAAGGGGGGCTGCTGGGGAAATACAGAGGTAGGAAGATGCTGCCGATCCAGCCCTGGAAAGAACTGCGCCTCCTAAACATTTGTGGTTATGCCAAAAGGCATCTGGGCAGGAGTTGGCTCTAGGCAACCTGTGACGGGCTCTGTCAGCCCGTGTTCCTCGTGAGCCCTCCGCACAGAAGGTTTGCCATCTCGGGGGGGAGGGGGGGGAGGACTAAGTGAGCAGGGCATGCCTGCGCCTGGGTGGCACTTGTTGCTGATCAGAGATCTGCCATGATTTTAGCCTCTGTGGCTTCCTGAGAGCTAATGGCCCTGTTTCAGGGAGGGTTCAATGTTCTTAATTACTGTTTTGGTTTTTGTGTTTATTTTGTAGGTGGTTCCTGAAATGACAGAAATACTGAAGAAAAAATAAGTCAATCATATCTTAAGGAAACTATCAAAAGTATTCAGCTGAAATCATAAAAATTTATAATCTAAGGAAAGCAAATATGCTAACAGCAGCCAGAATGCCTTTTGATGAATCAATTATTATATCCTTTTTGATTTTTTTGTGGTTCCAAACAATATTTTTTGACATTTTCTAATTCTGTAATAAAATATATAATGAAGTTTTGTCATCCTTTAAAATTACTATCAGAAACATGTCTAGTACCTTAAATAAAGAAAAAATTGAAAAAATAAAATAAAATCTACTTTAGCCAGGAGTGGTGGCATTCACCTCTAATTCCAGCACCCTGGAGGCAAAAGGATCTTTGTGAACCCAAAGTAAGCCTCGTTTACATAGCAAGTTCCTGGACAAACATGGCTGCTTAGTAAGACCCTGTCTCAAATCATCACCATCATCATCATCACCACTTATTTCTTCACTTGTCTTATTCATGGGTGTTCTTTGTTTTAGGCAAGATTGTAACCATGAAAACCCTCATAGCCTAGCTATGCTAGTATAATTGTTGAATGGCATATCTCAAAAGATAGGGGCTGGATTGCCAAATTCAGAGCTACAGAAGCTTGACCACCAAGTGTGAATGTTCCAGGAACACACTGCTCTTCAGAAAAACAGCTAATGTGATAAAGTAAACTTGGCTTAAGCCTGACCATGGTGAAAGTGTTTGGTTGGTTTAACTTAAATTTTAGTTGTCCATTTTAGGGGTTTGTCAGTTTATAGAACTTTGTGTCTGCAAAGGATGGAGTTGGAGAAGGAGGGACAACTCAGTTTGATACTACTATAGATGTCTAGAATTCTGCTCAGAAAATGCTTTGCCCTTTCCTTTACTCTCCCGGTAGTGTCCTCTGTGTGGAGAAAAGCAACCAGGCTCCAATCATCCACACATGTGATCATCTCTTGCACTCTTTGCCCTAGGGTCTCCTGGTACAAGTTAGGCTGAGTGTAGGTGTGAGACGGGGTGAGGCCATGGCCAGGTCTCTGGAGCCACATGAGTCATCTGAAAAGTAGAATAAAAAGAATTGCCAACAGCTAGGTTCAGTGGTGCACACCTTTAATCTCAGGACCCAGGAGGCAGAGGCAGGCCGATCTCTGAGTTTAAGGCCAGCCTCGTTTATGGAGCCAGTTCCAGGACAGCCAGGACTACACAAAAAGTCCTGTTTCGAAAAAAAAAAAAAAAAAAAAAAGGAGGAGAAGAACTACCACTGCCAACTGGAAACACATCTTCATCTTGGAAAGCTGAGGTGGCACCCTGGGGTGAGCATGCAGCACCGGAAGGAAGCAAGGTGCAGTGGGACCCCTAGACCCCATGTGCTTCTGCTGCTGCCTAATTGAGCCTGCTTTGACTCAGGGGCGCTTGCTGCAAAGCCCTTTTGAAAGTTGTGGCATTTCAGCCCTGTAGTGAGAGGACAGCAGTAAAGTGACAGCTCTTCACAAGTCATGGACACATTAGTGCTATGGGATCCTAGAATGCCCGAGCTGTGGGGTCATCTGGCTGTGCCCTGCCCCAGTTGAAACTGGGACACAGAGGAGAGGAAACCATATCTTGAATTGTCTGGGCATACATGGCTTCAGTCACCTCATCAAAGTGATTACTGTATCCTTCTGTCTTTGAGGTGCTTTTTAAGGTCTTCATTTACCTCCCATCCCTGCTGCAGGGGCAGCAGCAATGGCAGATGTGATGGCTGTAGGGGCACCCCACTGAGAAATGCTAATCAGAGAGGAGCACCCCAGGTAATGCCTTTCTCCTGAGCTGAACTGATGATCCTTTCTCCCACTTGATTCCTCCTATCATTCCTCCTGTCATAGTGGCCCCGTCTCAGCCCCTGAACCAGCATTTACTTGGTGCAGCTTGTTGTCATCATTGCATTTAGCACAGTCAGGCCACTTAGCAGGCTGCTAAGTTCTAAGAAATGTCGTTTTTTCATCTCCAGATGCCATTGAGTGTACTAATGTAGATGGCCCAGCCAACTCTACACCTAGTTAGTGTTCATAGTGTGTGTATGTGTTCATGCAAGCAGCAGCACAGTCCGCCCGTGTACCTGTCCCACAGATGTGTGGTTGACGCGTTGTGCCATGGTACTACCCCACCATCGGAAATTGGCAGCAGCGCTGCAGTCTTACAGGACCGCTGTCATATAGGTAGGTGTTCTGTAGTCCTACGTAGTACTGGCATATCCCTCCAGTCTCCATAATGGTCCGTAAATTATATTCTGCTTTGGTTGGTAATTATAGCAATAATTATCACCTCTACAAGGTTCTATAACTTCTCCAAATGCAGATAATTAACCAGAGCCAGGATTTGAAACTGGGCAGTCTGGCTTCAGAATGGTGACGTCACCAGAAATCTGATTCTCCCTCAACTCAAGGGATGGGGAGACCAAGGCTCCACAGTAATCAGCCTCAGACAAAGAGCACTAAGTGATTCCTGTCACCCAGTGAGGCATTGTAGAAAAGAGGCAGTTTTCTGGGGTACTGCCTGCAGAAGTTCGTGGAACTGAAACGTCCCTTTGGGTGGCAACTTGGAATGACTTCTGAAAGTCGTTTGGGCTGGGAAGGTGGTCTAGGTGGTGAAGTGCCGCAAAGGACCTGAGTCTGCAGTGCCTTGTAAAAGATCATGCCACTACTGGGGAGGTGACAGAGTTGCATCTGTGGGGCTTGCTGGCTAGTTTAACTAAATTGACGAGCTACAAGAGACTCTGCCTCAGAAAATAAAGTGGAAGGGGAATGAGAGGAAGACAACCAATGTCAGTTTCTTGCTTCCACATGCACACACATCTGTACACACATATGAGCACATACAAAAAGCTGTAGAAGATGGCTTAAAGTGAAAACTTAATCCAAAAGGCATGGTTTGAGGTACCCCGTTTATCTTCACTTGAATCTGAATAACAGTTCCTTTTGCTCTGCTCTGGCTCTAGGCCTCTGGGAAAGGTGCTTGTGTGTGCATCCCCTTTCCGTCTGCTTGTCTGGAATCCGGTTAGCCCCTGTGGCTTCTGGGAGTTTGGCAGCCCGTTTTCCTTTGCAGGCCAGCCCCTTCCCTCACACAGCCTGAGGCACAGTGGTGACAGTGCTCCCAGCGTATGTCCTGTGTGCTCAGCAATGCTGCAGGGAACAGTTTTGCAGTGTTTGATGGCTCAGAAGTTGTCATGTGTAGGAGCTACAGCTTAAAGAGCTTTGCTTGTCAGAGCAGTAAGCTAGCCTCTGAGGCCACAGGCTGTTGAAGGCATGGTCCCTGCCTTCATGAATTTTTACCAGAAAAGATGAGAGGAGGTCAAACACTTGGCATTGTCAATGAATATCCTCTTGTGGACCAGACCTGGTCATTCTTCAGGGGCTGGAGGGTGGAAGAGGAAACTGAGCTCAGAGTTCTTGTGGATAGTTAAGGCAGGAAGGGGCGGAAACATGGAGTTTGGGAAGTGTGGGTTAAGGGAAACCAGTTTGTAGGGGTCATTGACAAGTGTAGAAGGCCTTTTCCCTCCTAAACCAGTGTTTCTCAAATGTTGCTTCCCATGAGGGTACCCATGAAAGCACCCTTGAGGGACAGCTGGCCGATAGAGATGTGCTGATACTAAGTCATCCTTCTGCATTTTATACTAAAACGTTGCTGTCTGCACCCTTTGTTTTCTAGGCCAGTTGAGCAGATAGATGCCCAAGTGAATGAACAAGGAGGTCAGTCTGCCGCTCCATAGCTTTTGTCTTAGAAACAAAGCGGGTAGTTTTGTTGAATACTTTAAAAATCCTTTCTGCTAGTTGGTGGCTACTGTTTGAATGTACTGTAATTAAGTGTGTCAGCATATTGGGCTGAGACCATGCTTTATCCGATAAAATGCCTCCTGCACAAGCATGGCAACCAGAGTTTGGATCCCTAGAGCATGTCATGTAAAAGGCTGACAGGTGTGCTAGCCACCTATAAGAGGCTGGAACTTAGAACTAGCTACCTAGCTAGCTAAACTAGCTAGAATTGAGTATAGTGAGAGACCTTGCCTCTGCAACTCCCAGATTTCAGCTTTGGGTAGCACATGTACACACATACACTCCACTCAAACACATATGGATTCCACACACATATACAAGACAAACCACAGCCTATCGAGTGTACTATAGCGTTGCATGACATGAGGCCCTGCACCTGAGCACGTCCTTGGTAATGGAGAGCCACTGGGTTTTGTGGGCAGCCCATGACCTACCTAGAGGACTAGCCAGGCCTGGTGGTGTATTCACAATGCTGGAGGGAAGAAAAGATGAAAGCCATTTGGAGGTGGTTACAGGAGTCCTCTGGCTTCATGCCCTGAATGGGTTTAGCTGGAAACTCTTTGGCTACAAAATGGGTCCCCAGAGACTGTGTAAATGGGTCCAGTGCTGTGGGTGAGGCTGGTGGAGAGCAAGCTTTTCCTCCCAGGATAGCAGGGGAGCCGGGTTGCCGCCAGAGCCTGGGTGTGTCTGCGCCGGCTGGAGGGCTGGAAACCCCAGCCGTAAATGCACCTTATGTTCTCATTCTGAAAGGAATGCTCAGCATGGCTACGTTTCATGCTGCCTCTGACTGGGGGTTTTGTTTTGGTGGACATAAAAGTGAGCTGGAGAGAGTGGGAAACCCAGAGAACCCTATTGATTGTGCCAGATGGATATAGTTAGCTGGAGGCTTGCTGATAATCCTGTAAAGAGCATATAAGGGGATATACCGTCAGCATTTCATGTAACCCTAGATTTGGGGGACTCTGGAGCCCGAGTGAAGAAGACTTGCTGATAACCTTGGCTTTTGAGACGCTGGCGCACATCACCCTGCTGGTGGATAGGAGAGCGATCCAGGAAATCAGATGCACAGGAATTTGCCCCAGGTCACAAAGCAAGTGGGAATATGGAACGCAAACCAGCAGTTTTGGAAAATATGGCTTCCTAAGAATTGAATACACACTGGCTGATTGCAGATATAGTAGTCTCACTACTGCTGCCTTCTGCATGGGGAAGAGGCGTAATGGCCAGAGACGTGGGCAGGAACACAAGGGGCCTTCACTGGACTCTGGCTGGAAGTGCATGGCCTTTCCACACCCCAGCTCCTCTGGTGGCCCCCAGCTTTTCTAGGACTCTCCTCCGTGGGCATGGCTTCAGAGCTGCAAGCCTGTCATTAGTAGCAGGAGGCAGAGGTGGCAATGGGGCTTAGGATGG